CCTAAATAACTGCCACACACGTGTTCATTAACTGCCAAGGGATGTGGAAAACATCGTGGGCGAAAATCACGTGAATAACTGCCAAAATAACGGAGTTTGAAACGTGGGAAGGCAGTTACAGCTGATCTTTGGAAGAGTGAACATCTTACATCGATAAGATATTCGCTTTTAAATCCTTACTTCGATAAACAAAGGAAGAATCATTAAACCCCTCACGATCTGTGATTTGGTGGTCCACGAGTCAAAGCGCTCCCGGCACAGGCAAAGTCCCACAAAACAAGAATCGATAAACGATTTTTGTGTTATTTTCTCAAGAGTTGTAATTTTTATTTTTTTTGTTATGTAAAAGAAGTCTTATAAAAAGACTATCTATTTCAAATTTGTTGTAATCGATCGAAGATATAATGAATTCCATAACAAAATCAACTTTTGACGAAAACAGCGATGATGAAGCTTCCAGAGATCTCTTATTCAAGATCTGACCTAGGGCTTGGACAAGCTTGACGATGCCTCCAAGGATGAGGTGAGCGAGATTCGAGATGACGTCACGTGTCTTATCGTTGCCACCTCCTCCTCCGACGGAAAGCCAAGGGTCGTCGGAGATGACACATAGGGGAGGGGGGGGGGGAAGGGGGAGGAGGTGGACGGAGCCGAGGAGGGGGTCGGGGAGGAGGAAGAAGGGGGAGGAGGAGGCGGACTGAGCCGAGGAGGGCGTCGTGGAGGAGGAGGGTGCGAATGAGGAGGGAGGAGGAGGGGAGGGGAGGAAATGGATTGAGTTTTAATTGGGAAGAAGGGTAATTTGGGAAGTGGGTTTCTTGGGCAGTGGGTTTGGGGGTTGGTTGCATATATTTTTTAATTTTAGGGCCTATGGGTTATGGTTGTTGGGCTGGGGGTGGGGATGATTGACCTAACTTATTTTGCTTCCTCCAAGCAACTTTCCCTTAAATTAATAATCTCTGAATCTATACCTCGTATGTATGGGGAATTTTATCCCCAATCCTAAGTAGGGATAAGTCAACGCCTAATACGCGTTGCCGGGTAGTCTTTGATCGTAAAAAGGACAAAAGCCCACGTATTTAACATCGTGGCAAGCCGTTATTAATAATGCCAAAATCCGTGTCTTACACACACGGGGAACTTTATCCCAAATCCTAAGTAGGGATAAGCCTACGCCTAACACGCGTTGTCGGTTAGTCTTTGCCGTAAAAAGGACAAAAGCTCGCGTATTTAACATCGTGGCAGACCGTTATTAATAATACCAAAATCCGTACCTTATACGCATGGGGAACTTTATCCCAAATCCTAAGTAGGGATAAGCCTACGCCTAACACGCATTGCCGGTTAGTCTTTGTCGTAAAAAGGAAAAAAGCCCACGTATTCAACATTGTGGCAGGCCGTTATTAATAACGCCAAAATCCGGGCCTTACATGCACGGGGAACTTTATTCTAAATCCTAAGTATGGATAAGCGGATAAGCCTACGCCTAACACGCGTTGCCGGTTAGTCTTTTGCCGCTAAAAAGACACCAAAATTCATGCCTCACATGCATAGGGGACTTTATCTCGATCCCTAATTAGAGATAAGTCTACGTCTAACACACATTATCGGCTAGTCTTTTTTTATAAAAATGATAAAGTCTATGTATTCAAAATTATAGCATCGAGTCTAAGAGGGTTCATTCTCTTAGCACAACATTACATGTAGAACAGACTTAGACAATCCACATACTAGCCCGACTCAAACGGTAGTCGGTAAAGGCTTATCAAATTCGTTGATGGCTGAGGGTTTGCCAAAAATCCTATGCATGTTTATAGGCCCATCAGCATAATGGATGTGAGTCGAGACTTGAAACATATGAGCTAAAGACAAGTCTCAAAGACTTAGTCAAAAATGCATGAAAGTCACCTCTGTGTCTCAAGTCAAAACGCCGAGGTCAGACCCATATTGCAAAAAAAAACACAACGCCGAGGTCACACCTGGGTTCCAAATTTAAAACGCAATGGTGAGACCCGCGCCTTAAGTTCAAAACGCAGGGGTCCACCCCCGCATTCCAGAAGCAGGATTATGATGCATACCTTTACATAGGTCCTGCGTGGTAAATCCCTTCAACCAAGATGCCTTTGAAGCGGGTGCAGAGAACAACTTCTTTATGACAAGAAATCAATAGCTTCAAGATCAGAGTTGAGATCCAAAGTATTTCGAAAATTTATCCCAGTCAACCGCTAACTTTCGAAAACTTTGGAGAGGGTTCTGTAGGTTGTCTAAAAATCACTGTAGATAGTTGATTCCCCATCAAACACCGATGATGGAAGTTACAATCTGACGACTTTCAAAAGGCTATAATTTAAAAACTTTCACGTAGATCGATGAAGGAGTTAAGATGAAGATTATAAGATGACGGTCTTTGCAACGTTCTAGTAAAAGAGACCACAAATTGACGGTCTCTTCACATCAAAACGTAGAGATCATCCCTGCGTTTTACCATCAAAATGTAGAGGTCATCCCTGTGTTTCAACATCAAAACGCAGAGGTCATCTCTGCGTTTCACCATCAAAACGCAGAGCTCATCCCTGTGTTACAACATCAAAACGCAGAGGTCATCCCTGTGTTACAACATCAAAATGCAAAGGTCATGCCCACGTTTCAGAGTCAAAACGCAGAGTTCATCCCCGGCGCTCCAGTTAAAAACACAGAGCCCGCAGACTCAAAACACAGAGTTCATCTCTGCGTCCTAACTTTGCGTTTCATATTTACAACGCAGCGCGACCTGTGCATTCAGCCACCAAAATAGGCTCAACTCTGCATTTTAAGTCTAAAACGCAGAGTTCGGGCCTTGAACGCTATTTTTTAGTGTTTGACTCATTCAAAGCACGAACTAAACGGTTTCAAAATTGTTTTTCCTACGATTTAGGGAGCAGTTTAAGGGGGCGGTTACACCCCATTCAGCCCCACTTAGGAGTGAATTAAGGGGACGGTTACACTCCTTAATCCCCTATAAATAGGAGTAAACTCAACTGAGTTCGGATCTTTGGATCTTGGAGTATCTTGGAGATCTAGAGATCAACTTCTTCGGATCATCTTCTTGGTAGCAGATCATCTTCGAGCTTCCTGCAGCAATAAAATTCTGTGTGGTGTAAACGTTTTCGGGTGATCGTTGAAAACCCGGTGTGATAATGGATTTCTCCCCGGGAGTGGGGAGCGGAGACGTAGGACGGAAGGTCCGAACTCCGTGATTATATTATGTGTTTGCATTGTTTATTTGTGCACTATCACTCTTGTTTAGTTATTATTTATTTTACCCTTGTGTTAGTTTATATATATATATATAGTTATATATATATTATATATATATATATATATATATATAGACAAAACTTGTGTCAACTTAAGTGGATAGCAAAATATTGTCCACTAAACTTTTTAGCCACTCATATTGCCTAGGGATCCTTGCATGATATGAAAATGTTTTTATATTAATAAATGAGTGGCTAGGAAGTTTGGTGGACATCAACTTAAGTTGAATAGGAGTCTTACTCATATATATATATATATATATAATATATATAATATATATATATTATATATATATATTATCCTTGTCATATCATGTTGAATATCATTCTTGCTAGGATATATTTGTTAATTAGTTTTAATTGGCATAAATCGGATTAGATTAGCATAAATCCTATTCCCCCCCCCCCCTCCCTCCCATCTAGGGTTCTTTCCTAGTGGCATTAAGATGCTTTTAGTAAACAATAATTTCATAGAAACTAAAATTTTGTCCGAGTCTTTAATAATCAACTACACTATGTATTAGTCGACTATACTGTAATTTGACAGAAACTGATATTTTGACTAAGGCTTTAGTAGTCGACTACTATTCTTATTGGTCGACTACTAAGGGGTAAATATGAGATATATGAAGTATTTTGAGACTCATTTTTTATCTATAAACTCTAATGGTTAACATATAGGATTTCTATTGTTAACCACATACTAAGCATGTGTTAGTGTATTCTAAACACTATGTGTGTGTATGTGTTGTGAGTGATCAAGGCTTGTACAATAAATCTAAGTAAAGAAAATGTATAAATTACATTATGACGTTTATGCACTTCTTCATCTTTACATCTTGTTTCCTTGAACTCATCATGTACTTTGTTCACATATCTTGATCATATTTGATGTTGACATCTGTATTGATATGTTAGTGCATAATAATGCACATAGTATATAAGTTGTTATCATCAAAACTATATATTGGGGTCAATATATCCAACAATTGTCAGGCAAGTGCTTTCGTGTTGCCCACTAGCACTAGTAGAAAACAGGGCATTGGCGACGGGGAAATCCGTCACCAATGCCCCAAAATCCGTCATGAATACATATTGGTGACGGAAATGGAACCGTCGCCAATAAATACGTCGGTAATAAGTATTGGCGATGGGTTTCCCCGTCGCTAATACTTATTGGCGACGGACGACTATTGGCGACGTGTGGTTCCCGTCGCCAATGCACATTGGTGACGGGGAAATCTGTCGTCAATGTTTAAGCATTGGCGACGGGTGGTTCCCGTCACCAATGCACATTGGCGACGGGTAGATCCGTCGCCAATGTTTAAAACATTGGTGACGGGGATTTACCCGTCGCCAATGTTTTAAACATTGGCGACGGATCACCCCGTCGCCAATGTGCATTGGCGACGGGGAAATCCGTCGCCAATGTATATATTTACGTAAAAATATTTTTTTTAATTTTCTGGTAGCCTCCCATATGAGAATACATATATAGCCTGTATCGATATCAATCCAATGACAATATTTAACAATATATCATAAAATCAACCATGATATACATTCACATTCCAAATGAATATTCATCCAATTTTATCCGTCAATCCACAATATCGAACAATACTCATCATATAATCACAATCACAATACATCTCGCATGCTCATACTCATCATATAATCACAATCACAATACATCTCGCATGCTCAAATAATATTCATTCACTATGCAATAAAATCACAAATATATTACATATAGGTAAAATTCAAAAGTCATAATATGTCTTCACACAATTGAAAACTACATAAATATAAGAACAAGTCTCACTCACTCCTCGTCATCTGCAGTATTTGGTTTAAATTCAATAGTTGCAGTTGGATCAATTGTTTCTTTCACAACCTTAATAAAAATAACAAGTGAGTTTCTTTTGGATGAAAGATTATAAAGACATTATGATCTTTTGAGTTATAATTCATGGACAAACCTCAGCAAGCTCCAGCATGGTGAACTCCCCAGGGTTTCCTAAGTTAAAAGGTCCAACATGATCACCTTTCATTAGTGCCATTAATCCTGCAACCTGGTAAATTTTCAGGGAAAAAATATCACAGTTTATATTGCTATGTATCAACAAATGTAGCATCTTTATGATAAAAATATGCAATACATAAATTCATTAAGTATTATCATATCCTTCTTAATTGTCGTCAATAAGTTTATGATATCTATGTGAAATTATATGTAACGATGTTTAATGTGATTTTAGATACATCGCCTCTTTAGCTATTAATCTCAATTGGAAAGTTCCTTTTTTAGGTTCAATTAGACAACAAAATGCTGAATAACTGTGAAAAATGGAGAGCTGAGTGGTGTGGACTACATAATTCAGTTCAGTGGAGGATCCATATGGCCAATAAGTCGAGGGCTCGATAAGGAACAAGCACAAAAAGTTCAAACTTTTTCTGGCACATGATGTATGCCCATACACATGATTTTCTAAACATTAGCAACAAAAATGGCAATGACCAAACAAGAATTGTTCTCAATAGCATACATGGAGTTCATAGGTTAAAAAAATATTGAAGGCATAAAGATATGAAACAGTACCAGATCAGAAACATATTGGAAACTTCGAGTCTGCTTTCCACCTCCATAAACAGTCATTGGTTGTCTACGAAGAGCCTGTGAAAATAAATTGCTAAGTTTTTTGAAATGCATATGCAAACATGGATGTGTAAAGGATTATGCACGCTAAAAGGGTTTAGTGAAGACCTGTGCAACGAAATTACTAACAACCCTCCCATCATCTATGCACATCCGAGGCCCATATGTATTGAAAATACGCGCAATGCTCACCTGAAAGAGCCATTATAGAGATTAAACTTCCATGAAGCAAATAGAAGATTATAGCAAGGTCAATAATGATCATTATTGCTAGAAATGCATTCACATAATATTATTAGGATCTACATTGAGTGGTGGTGAAATGCAACAATGCAGAAAGTTTTCCAAGGATTATGTTGGTGGTGAGATAGGACGAGCTTAATGTTTATTGGGGCATTTCATCGAAGATTTGTGATGAGATAGGATCAGATAACAGAAATTAACATGAACATAAAAGTATGAAGACAATTCCCTAGTGAATGAATCTAGAAAATAACATTTGACAAGTTAAATTTATTGCTAGTGCAAAAGAAATACCTTGACTTCTTTATACAGCAATGGTGCAAAAGAAATAGGTATTGGTGACGGATCGTGCCCATCGCAGATACTTATTGGCGTATTGGCGACGCGGCCAATCCGTCGCTAATACAAATATTGGCGACAAGGTATTGGCGACGGGTTTATTTCCGTCGCCAATATTTGTATTGGAGACGGATTTCGAATCCGTCGCCAATGCTCTGTTTTCTACTAGTGTAGATTCACCATTGTTGTTAACGTGAAAAGCTCCGCTAGCAGAAGAACTACTATGAGAGCCATCAAATGGCTTATCTGTTTTGAGCTTTTTAGCGTCTTTTTTTTTCTTTGGGGTGCTTAATATGCTGTTAACTGAATCTCTTACATCATTTGGGACTTCGGTACATGGGACAATATCTTTGTTCTTGATTTGAGCCAAATGAAATTTCATCTTGTAAACTCTGCCACTGGACTTACGGTGATAATAATTACACCCAACTTTTTGCTTAGTAGCATCAACCAAAACACAGTGCTCCCAACAAGCATCTCTTCCTCTGACCATTTTACTGAAACATTAATATCAAATGGATACATATTTAATTAGTTTCTTTAAACATCACATACAAAAATATTCTGAAAGCATCATAAAAAATCATCAACGTGGTTAACGGTCGTTTTCTCTATGTATGAGTGAAATGCCGTAAACATGTAACATTTTGTCATGGGTGTCAGAAATATTTTGCCGTAAACATCTATGTGATGTTTTAAGAAACTAATATGTATCCATTTGATATTAATGTTTCAGTAAAATGGTCAGAGGAAGAGATGCTTGTTGGGAGCACTGTGTTTTGGTTGATGCTACTAAGCAAAAAGTTAGGTGTAATTGTTATCACCGTAAGTTCAGTGGCAGAGTTTACAGGATGAAATTTCATTTGGCTCAAATCAAGAACAAAGATATTTTCCCATGTACGGAAGTCCCAAATGATGTAAGAGATTCAGTTAACAGCATATTAAGCACCCCAAAGAAACAAAAAGACGCTAAAAGCTCAAAACGGATAAGCCATTTGATGGCTCTCATAGTACGTAGTTCTTCTGCTAGCGGAGCTTTTCATGTTAACAGCAATGGTGAATCTAGCGGGCAACATGAAAGCACTTGCCTAGCAATTATAGATGATATTCAGAAGCAAAAACATGATGAAGCTGATAAAAAGATTTCTCGGTTTTTCTTCCACAATTCTATTCACTTTGCTGTTTTCTCAATCCAGTTATTACCAAGATATGATTGATGCAATAGCAGAATGTGGGTCTGGTTATATAGCTCCAAGTTATGAGGACTTGAGATCAACTCATTTAGAGAAAGCCAAAGGAGAAGTACATGAAAATTTTAGTAAAAGATTGAGCGATCGGTGGAAGGAGACATGGGTCACTATTTTATCAGATGGAAGATCAAAGTCTTTACTAATTATGTTATCGGTTGCATCATCCAAAGGGACACATCTTCTTAAATCTTTAGATATATCACCTCATATTGATGATGTCTATTACTTGTTTGAGCTCTTAGATTCGGTTGTCGAAGAGATTGGCGTAGAAAATGTTGTGCAAGTGATAACAGATCACTTGTCTAGTTTTGTAGATGTTGGTGGTCTACTTTTAAAGAAGTATCCTTCTTTGTTTTGGTCTCCATGTGCTTCATATTGCATAGAGAAAATGTTGGAGGATATAAGTGAGCTAGAGTGGATTAGTAATGTCTTGGAGGAGGCAAGGACCGTTACAAGATATATATACAACAATTCTTAGATACTTAGCATGATGAGAAAATTTACTGGGGGAAGACATTTGATTCGACCTAAATTTACTAGATTTGTGACACATTTCCTTCGCTTAAGGTCTATCGTGATTCAAGAGGATAACTTAGAGCTCATGTTTTCACACCCCGATTGGTTATCATCCATTTATAGCAGGAAAAAATGATGCACAAGTGATTAAAACTTTGTTGCATTTGGAGAGATTTTGGAAATCAGCACAATAAGTGGTCAGTTTGATTGAGCCTCTTGTCAGGCTTTTGAGAGTAGTAGATGGCGATATGCCTGCTATGGGTTATATTTATAAACGGTGCGAAGAGAAATATATGCCACTGTTGGAAATTATTGACAGAAGATGGAACGTGCAACTACATTCTCATTTGCTGCAGCTTTCTTTAATCCATCTATATTCTACAGCCCAAAGTTTAAGCTCGATGCAAGTATGAGAAATGGTTTTCATGCAGCCATGTGGAAAGTGTTTCCCGATGAAAAGGATCGGATTCAACTTACCAAGGAGCAGCCTGTGTATCTAAACGCAGTTGGTGCTCTTGGGAGCGAGTTTGCAGTTTTGGGGAGGACATTGAATGCTCCTGGTAATCACTTCAACGCTAAGAACTTACTCATGTTTAGTAATTGATCGTATTTAAGTTTTCTCCCATTATATCAAACCAGAAGGTTTATGGTGAAGACTGAAGGTTTCATTCTCCAACATGCTCGCTAGAGTGACGGTATTGTCGGTATTTGGCAACAATTGTTGGTATTTCTTTTGCATATTTGAAAGTTCATGGTAATTTTCTCTAATAAAAAAAATATTATGTTCGTTTTCTCGCTAACCCTCAAAATGTATTTTAGTTATGTGAAAAGCGTTTTCCTTTTTGAAATCTGCTTTAAAATTTGTCTCTGGTAGGATTTGAGTCTGGGTTGTTCTAAGATCTTTGAATCCCTTCACCTGTACCAAATCTCTTCAAGATGATGAAGGATAATTTTTATAGTGGCGTATTCAAACAGATCTAAATACTCATTTTTTACCTTACTATTTTTTCATTTATTTTCATTTATAGCTGATTGGTGGCAACATACGATTATGAAGTTCCAACCTTGCAAAGGGTTGCATTGCGTATTCTCAGTCAGCCATGTAGTTCTTATCGGTGCAAATGGAACTGGAATACTATAGAAAACTTGCACTTCAGAAAAAGGGGCAGGATGCAACAGGAAAATCTCAGTGACTTGGTTTCTGTGCAATGCAATCTCCACTTAGGGCCCGTTTGGTTGGTTTCCTAAAAATCAAGAAAAGGAAATCGGTACAAGGAAATCAATAAAATAATACTTTTACTCATTTCCATCCCTAAAACTCACCCACAACATCTAATAAAATATTATTTTTATCTTCCAACTCATCTCATTTCATCTCCTTTCTTACATTTAAAAATAAACCAAACACAAGAAATGTGTCACATCATCCAACTCATCACAACTCATCTTATCCCATTTTTAAAAATCACACACATCATCCAATAATATTGTGACAACTCATCTCATCTCATTAAACATTCCTTTCCATCCATTTCCTCAAAAAAAACAAGAAATTGGTTTCCTTAAGTACGTGTCACATCATCTAATAATATACCTCCAACTCATCTCATCTCATCTATTTTCCTATTTTTAAAAACGAACCAAACATAAACAACCTCAAAACATCATCCAATAATATACCTCCAATTCATTTCCTTATTTTTTTAACCAACCAAACAACCTCAAAACAATTTTTTTTAAAAATCACTCACATCATCCAATAATAAGTTGACAACTCATCTCATCTTATCTCCTATTCTACAATTTCTTTCTTTTTTAAACCAACCAAACAACCTCAAAACAAATATTATAGAAAATAGGTTTCCTATTCTTTGATTTCCCAAAAAAAATGGCCTAACGAACAGCCCCTTAAAGGCAATTGATTAGAAACAAAGCGGAAAACGGAATGCCATTATTTATGATGAGGTTGATGCAAGTTCTGAGTGGCCAACGGAATCTAAGCTTTTACCCATTATGAATTATGATGGATGATTTATGGTTGGATGATCTTGATCACAAAGGGAGCTCTACAATTTATGATCAAAGTTATGAATGTGTTGACGCATCAAGATGTTTAGTACGTATTCTGAAAACGTTTGATTTTTCAGTTGGAAGCAATTTAAGATATGTAAGAGAGATGGCCGTTATTTGGTACATATTGTGAAAAACGTTTGATTTTCAGTTGCAAGCAACTAAGACAGATAGCCATTAACAGAGCTAAGTGAAAGAATAGAATACATGTAGCCAATCCCAACAAAGGCTTTGGATTGTATTGCAAATATTTGTTGATTGTTGCTAACCACATTACTTTGGTAAATATCATGTATGTATACTTTCTTTGTTAATATTCAATATTAATATTAACAAAGATGTTCTTTTTCTTCTTTGGTCAGTATAGATTGAGGTATTTTTTTAACCGAAGTGAAACAAACTGATAAAAGTCCAGCTCTGGTATCAGAGCAAACCAAAGTTGCGCACTCCTACTCCTGTGTGACATTTCTCAAATCCTTATATTTTCCTTATGGAGATAAAATTAGTATGCATTCACAGAGAACTGTCAATGACCAAGAGAAACGAGATGTCCTTGATCAGATCATGGATATCCATCTCTTTGGCCACGCCTTGTAGTCGTTATAGCTACTTCTCATTTACATTATTATTTTTAAAAAAATAAAAAAATACAGCCCTATTCAAATAAAAAAAATAAAAAAACAGCGCTCCTTCAGATACCCTGATGAGCAAACAGTTTGCTCAGACACGTTTGATTACTTACATTAACTCTCACCAAAGGAAACACTAACATCTGATGCAAGTGGAGACCAGCACGTACTGTCCCCATTAGACAGTAGCAAAGATAATAACAACATCGTAGTACCTAACTTAATTGCAGATATACAAGGGATTATGATGAGTCACTTATTAATTTTGATTTTTTTTCTAGTACCACTTAGATCCCTGGTATTCAAATGGAACTATCCTTCTATACCTGCATCATAGAGGACCCACGTTCAGCTCCTCTGAAAAGATGGTGAAGACCTCGGCAACACACCGAAAATATCAAGGTATCTCCATACATGACTCCCACATGACATGTATAGATAACGAAAGCACATCTCCGCTTTGACATCAATGGTCTACCCGCTAACAAAAAAAAATCCAGAATAATAAATAACTAACCTATAGAATGTGAACCTCAATTATGTGGGGGCCACGTGGGGGCTACAAACAATAGCAAAGCCGCGTGAGATTCATGCGTGGTTTTCTTTTGCTGCGTGAAGGGACACGAACACGAAGGCCCACGAACGAAGGCAGACGAAATCATAATATTCTGCAGCTATATATAACATGTGAGGGGCTAGGTTTCTGTGAGCGCAAGGCAGGGGCAATCGTGGGTGCGTGTGCAAGCCGGCAGAGGAGAAAAATTCGCCAATTGCAGAGGGAGAAAACAAGTGCACGGAGCTTTGTTTTGCGGCTGCAGTTGAGGAGATTTTGTGTAGTCTCTTTTAGGGTTTAGTGCATCCCTTTGAGAGGTATTTGTGTGAGGGATCTGAGAGTTTGTGATTTCCCTCTATTAGTAGATCCCCCTCCTTGCCTCGTGGACGTAGGCAGTTTGTCGAACCACGTAAAATTGTTTTGTTTGAGTTTGTGGCCATTGTAATACTTTTTAGAATCCCTCGACGCGCAGTCC